TGCATCAGCACCAGCTGATTTCACGCTTTATAGGCTGGGAAACAGTCCGCAGCTTAGTCTTTTTCACACTCCACTGACAAGGTAACCCCACAACTCACCAATTTAACTGCTCCAAGTTTAATGTTAGCACCTATTACTGACCACCTCAAAAGGCAGTCAGATAAAAAGCTTTAATATACTGAACAACGGCAATATGATATGAAATAGAAAGGTAGAGAGAAAAGTTTGCCTCCTACTCTGCATATGTAACTGGTGGTAGGGGGCAGGGAGAAAAGAAAAAAACTCCCTCTTAAAACTTCTTTCCCTCATTACACATCTGGAGGTTGGTCTGTTTCTACAGTTATTTGAAATTAGTTCCTCTCCTGGGTCTATTCTGGGTTTAACTGACATCCTATAGTTGACAATAAAGGAACTCAAATGGATAAGGCTTTGGGGGCTTTACCTCAACCTTGACATGCATTAAACTTGATTTTTTTTTTCCTCTTTAAGATTCACAGAGTAAAGCTAATAAACCACTGGGTAAATTTTGAAAGTAGAGGCCACCAGACTCAATCTCAGCTAAGTGTCATATATATTATCTCATTTGATCCCAACTACAATACTAAGAGGTAGCATTATTATCCCAACTTTACAGATAAGAAATCTGAAACTTAAGTTACTTAAGATCACACAGTTTCCAAGTGTTGGACAGGACTTCAAAGTCCCTGGATTGGATTTCAAAGTCCCTGCACCTAACTACTGCACTAGACTAAAACATATACCTTCTAAAAATTATGTTGGGGTAAAAATGCACAGCACAGAATACTAGTCTGGCTACAACCAAAGGTTCATTATAGCAAAGCTCTTTACTTTGTACGTATGTTTGTAAAAATGCATAGCACAGAATAGTTTAATTTTTAAAATACCAAATCACAATAACGACAAAAATGAATAATTATAAATGAGGTAGAGTCTGTCTGTTAGAGACATAGCTACAGCTCCGTATCTATCACCTCCCTCCTTGGAGCTATACCAGCAAGTGTGAAATGTGCCTGGTGAGAAACTGAGAAACCAAAAGCAACTTTCAGACAAAGAAAGCATTAGCAAGTTAATAAATTTAAGAGTTTCTCTTCTATGCAGTTTCGAAGTTTATTAATTAGAGTTTCAAGAATAACAGATAATTACAATACAGTAACATCGTCAAAGCAATGTTACTTTAAGGAACAGAACGCCTGTACACAGGGCTACAAGAAGGCTTTCAAAGAAGAATCATCTCCTGAACGAACATGGCTCAGGTATTTAAACTCAATTCTTATCTAGTATTCTTATGATACAAAGAGAAAGATAATTGTTAAAGATGGGTAAAAGCTAACAATAGGCAATGGTATTTTTTTTTTACCACCAAATATTTATTAAGTGCACATATTGTATTGACATCACTGTTGGGGTAGTAGAAATTATAAAGTACGGGCCAGGCATGGTGGCTCACGCCTGCAATCCCAGCACTTTGGGAGGCTGAGGTGGGTAGATCAGGAGGTCAGGAGATCGAGACCATCCTGGCTAACACGGTGAAACCCCATCTCTACTAAAAATACAAAAAATTAGCCGGGCATGGTGGCAAGCACCTGTAGTCCCAGCTACTCGGGAGGCTGAGGCAGGAGAATTGCTTGAACCCAGGAGGCAGAGGTTGCAGTGAGCCGAGAGAGTAAAAATGAAGCTTCCCCTTAAGACGTCTCTCTACCTAATTGGAAAGATTGTTTTCATGTTGTTTTAAGGGACTATATGTCTCTAACTGCCAAATAAAAGAAAAGCAGTAAATGATAGAAACCAGAGGAGAAAAATATCACTAAGGGCTTGGAATGGGTGAGGAAAATGTCATAAAGTGGGTGGAACTGAGGCTAGGCCTTTAGAAGCAGATATTCAGACACAGAACTGAGGGGAGACATTACAAGTGGAAAGAACACACTCAACATGTGAAGAGGCAAAAAGTCGGAAAGTGTTATTTTGGAGACTCATAGAAACTGGTTGTCTTAGTTCAGGCTGCTATAACAAAGTACCATAGACCGGTGGCTTAAAAACAACAAATATTTTTCACAATTCTAATAGCTAGAAGTTCAAGATCAGGGTGCCAGCATGGCCTGGTTCTGGAGCAGGCCCTCTTCCAGGTTGTAGCAGGTTGATTTCCCATTGTATTCTCATATAGCAGAAACAGAGCAAGCTAGCTCCCTGGCTTCTTCTTGGTTTGCTTGTTTGTTTGTTTGTTTTTTGAGACAGAGTTTTCGCTGTTGTTGCCCAGACTGCAATGCAATGGTGCAATCTTAGCTCTACCTCCAGGTTTAAGTGATTCTCCTGCCTCAGCTTCTGAAGCAGCTGGGATTACAGGCATGTGCCACCATGCCGGCTAATTTTTTGTATGTAATAGAGATGGGGTTTCACCATGCTGGTCAGGCTGGTTTCGAACTCCTGAACTCAGGTGAGCCACCTGCCTTGGCCTCCCAAAGTGCTGGGATTACAGGCGTGAGCCACAGCACCTGGTCCCTGACTTCTTCCTATAAGGGAAGTCATCTCATTCATGAAGGCTCCACCTTCATGACTAAATTACACCCTGAAGGCCCCATCTCCAACACCATGACACTGGGGACTAGATTTCAACATATGAGTTTAGGGGGAACACAAACATTCAGTCCCCAATATTAGTCTGGCTACAGCCAAAGGTTCATTGTAGCAAAGCTATTTAGTTTGTATAACTACTCTCATACTGAAAGAAAGAATTGAACCATAACCTGCCCACATTAAATTCTACTCCACAATCCAAATAATATCCAGAAATCTCTGTCTTTGATGTCTGACAATGCTTGCTATAGAAACAGTAACAGCTGATAGTATATGTATCAAATCAATCAAATAAATAAATAAATAACAAGCTGTACATTTGTCTGAGATAAAGGCCTAGCCATTGTGGATCTAGATATGGTAACTGGCCTTACTACTACTATAATAATTCCTGGAAAAGATAAGCCCTGTCCCCATTACCCTTACCTTTATAGTTTCATTTCCTGGTATGATGTGATATTTCTAGTCTCCTCAAAAGTTTTAATTCCATCCAACCCATACTCTCATCAATACAACACAGAACCTTACAGGGTTTTTTGTTATTTGATTTTTTGAGACAGAGTCTCATTCTGTCGCCCAGGCTGGAAGTGCACTGGCGCAATCTCAGCTCACTGCGACTTCCGCCTGCCTGGCTCAAACAATTCTCACGCCTCAGCCTCCAGAATAGCTGGGATTACAGGCGTACACCACCATGCCCAGCTAATTTTTTATATTTATAGTAGAGATGGGGTTTCCCTGTGCTGGCCAGGCTGGTCTCGAACTCCTGAACTCAAGTGATCTGCCCACCTGGGCCTCCCAAAGTGCTGGGATTATGGGGGTGAGCTGCCATGTCCAGGCAACCTTACAGTTTTGATGACAGAATCAATAATACCTTGAAAGGAAAGGTGAAATACACTATTTCCACCCCACCCTCTAGCTGTTTATTTCACAGCTGTATTAGCAGAACACAACAACTAAAACACCTTCCATTCAAATTGCCCACAAAACTTAGAAGCTGCTCTGCTCTTCTCTCACTTCTTCCCCTCCCCACCTCCTCTAACTTACACACAACCACCTCACTCTGCTGTCCATCTTCCCCAACTGCTGCCCAACAATTCACAGGCTGTCACAGACTGTCAGCACTGCGTTTGGGGACTTGAGAAGTACTCTTGTGGGACAGCACAGTGTGTTAGTACAGCATTTTCCCAGACACAATGTCACTCTTTATAGCCAGCTGCAAATTAGTTTCTTCTTAAAAAAAAAAATAATACTCCTAATAAGACAGGTACAAGGAGATTTCAAATAACCAAGATTAAAACTCACTTTGATTTGCTCTGAGATGCAGGCCTTTTCAGTCATGTATGATGAAATCCTATGTTTCTACTCACATGAGCCATGCAAAACATCCAGAAATACCTAAGACAGTTTTCTGACGCTAACAAAAGCAAAAAGACTAAGAAAAAACAAATCTAAGAATAATATTGTTCCTCTCTTTCTTCAGTGCCTATAGCTCCTCATCCCTGGATTCTATTTGAGACTACTTTGTTTGAACTCAGCTCTCAATATCAACATTTATTTCTCACTGTGTTTAGCTGCACAAAACTATTTGAGAGAAAATTCGGCAAATCACCAGTATCATGTCATACTTTCCATCCAATTTTTGCAACGTGCGTCAGCAGCACATGAGTATATTTATCTTCTGACAGTTGCTGTGACCAACCCTCTGGTTACCACTAAAGCTATCACCCTACGCATCGGCTGGCCCATTGTCACTGGCCATACAGGAGAGTCAGAAGTTGGAATATACTCAAAAGATCATCAGAGGATGTGAGTAAGAAAACCTCTCACAAAACAGCAGGTCATATCAACTTACTAAATTTTCCTTGAAAAAAAAATTTTTTAACTGACAACAAATACCTATAGGGTAATATTTAAAAATTAAAATCAGTTATCTTTTGTCATTTCTAAGTTATTTAATAACATTATTCATTCTGTTTTATACTTTACTATTTAAATGACCACCTATTCTTCCTGAATCAGTTAATCAAACCCTTAAAATAACACTGCGTCTTTGCTGCTCACTATATGAATTATAGTGAAGCCAGGGCTTGACAAGAAGGATGTTAATTCTCAGCTGTTACAGTGGAAAGAGACAGACCAAAGCTAGTGATCCAACTTTGAAAACTAATCCCTATATTTAAACAGCCCCTGTTCTCCTCTCTACTACAAACAATAAAATTAAGATAGACAGTAAACAGAAGAAAATCTTCAAAAGACCCTACACCTTTCAGGAAATTGCCATTTTCAAACTCGTTTTACATGACAGTTACAAAATAAAATGACACTGAAGAAACAAAATATAAGCAAACAAATCTTTAGAGTAAACAGACAGTATGTCTATAAAATATGCATAAGTAAAGGCAACTTACCATATAAGTAACATTTATTTTCTTAATAATAAAACTCTACAACATGCAGATAGACTGTCTCTGAAGGCAAACTGTATAAAAGTTCCTTTCTGACAGACAGCAGCCTCACCTGAAAAACAGTAATAATAAAAGTTATTTTTATAAAAATATACAGTTATTTCTTTGACACCTGTCTAGCCACTTAACTTTCATTAACTCATTTTGTAAGTCTGCATTTAACACAGTGATGTGCCATAGAATGTGCAATGAAGACACACATACAAAAGCACTTTTTAGAAGCTCATCAACCAAACAGAATAAGGAAATGCCATCTTCTGTCATTCTCAGACCTGAAGACAGGAAAGTCTACTAACTGTCACCAAAAAAAAAGACATAAGACACAAAATAATAAAAATCACAAAAAGACGCCAGGCATGGTGGCTCATGACTGTAATCCCAGCACTGTGGGATGCCAAGGCAGGCAGACCACTTGAGCTCAGGATTTCGACACTAGCCTTGACAACATGGCAAAACTCCATCTCTACAAAAAATATAAAAATCAGCCAAGCATGGTAGCATGCACCTGTACTCCCAGCTACTCAAGAGGCTGAGGTGGGAACATGGCTTGAGCCCAGCAGGTCAAGGCTGCAGTGAGCTCTGATGGCACCACTGCACTCCAACCTGGGTGACAGAACGAGATCCTATCTCAAACACACACACACACACACACACACACACACAGAGAGAGAGAGAGAGAGAGAGAGAGAGAGAGAGAGATACAAACAGATGTTCAACTTCTAGTCATTATTACAGTTTTAATACATGGGATAGCTTATGGAACATGGTGGATACTCAACGAGTATATGCTGGCCAGCTGAACGGTAGATGGATAAAAAATAAAACTCATCAGTTAGCAAAGAAATGCAATATAAACATACTGTTTTGCTATCAAACTGGCAAATATTAAAAAAGAGCAATAAGGTTCTGTTTTGCTGAATGTCAACAGAATAGGGCTCAAACACAGTGTTAGTGGAGGTATACATTTTATTAATATGGAAAGCTGTTAACAATATGTTTCAGAAACTTTTATGTGTCAAAAGACCTTTGACGAGGCAATTCTCCTCTGATAAATTTATCATAAGGAAGTAACTAGACTTCTACAAGGATACTTACTTATTCCAGAACTGTTCACAATAGTGAAAAATTTTAAACAACTTTAATGTCCACCCATATCAGCCAAGTTAAATAAATTATGGTGCATCCACACTGTAGAAAACTATGTAGATATACAAAAGAAAGATCTATAAGATATATTATTGAGCTGAAAAAAAAGTGGAGAATTTATCAAGGAGTTAAATGTAAAGAAAACTTTAAAACGTTCCTGAAAGATACAAAAGTAGATCTGAACAAATGGAAAGATATTCTTTGTTCTTGGACAGAAATCTCAGCACGAAACAACAGCATTAAAAAGTCAGTTTTCCATATGTTAACTTATAAATTTAACATAACCCCAATAAAAATACCTGCAAGCTTTTTTATTGAGACAGACAAGCTGATACTAAAGTTCAACAGAAAAATAAACATGCAAGAGTAGTCAGGAAAACACTAAAAATTTAAAAAGCTAGCCCTTGATATACTATCAAGCCTTTATAACTGAAAGTGTGATAATGGTATAGAAAATAGAAAGTCCAGAAATAAACCAAATAGAAATTTCATATATGATAAAGGTAGCATATCAAAGAACACTGGCACAAAATTGGTCTTTTTATTCATTTTTAAAGAAATCATACCTCCAAATGGATCAAAGATCCAAATTAACAACTAAAACCACAGAAGTACTAGAAGAAAACATAGGTGAATTATTTACCGTAGGTCCAAGGAAAGCCTCTAATTTTAATCCAAAATTCACATAAAACAAAAAACTAAAAAACTGGACTACATAAAGGTCTAAACATTCATACCCACGCACAAACACTACAAACTGGGAGAAAATATTTGTAACATACATCACCAGTAAAGAGCTAATATTCCTAATATTTAAAAACTCCCAACAATTGAGAAAGGGGAGGGGACCAAAAACCTGATGGAAAAATGAAGATATATATTTCAAACAAAAAGATAAAAAATGACCCTTAAACATATAAAAAGATGTTCAACTTCACTGATAACAAGAGAAACAAACATTAAAACTATACTGAGATACTATTTCTTACCTATCAAGTTAGCAGAAATTAAAAAGCACGCCACCACACTCTGATGATGAGGTTGTGGGGAAACTAACCCTCTTAAACACCGCTGATGGGAATTCAAATTCATACAACCTCTGCAGAAAGGGATTTAGCAATATTTAAGAAAACTAGATATGCTTTTAACTTCTGGCCCAACCATTCCATTTTGAAAATTTACTCCAAAATACACCTCCAACATACCAAAATATATATGGACAAGGTTGCAGTACTTTTTGTAAATTCAAAATATTAGAAAGAGCATAAGAGTACAAAAAAGTATTTATAGTATGCTACCTTTTGTGTAAGAATGAAAGAAAAATAAGAAAATGTGCATCTATATCCTCAATCCTGAGGGGAAAAAAATGCATGAAGGATAACTGGGGGAATCATTAGACTGGTAACCTGCAGAGGACAGGTTAGAGAAGGACAGAAGGAACGGGTGACAGTGCCCTGAGTATAAACATCTTTGTAGAGTTCTGACTTTTGGAAACATGCTGATGTTTCACATACTGAAGAATAAATAAGATCAATTAGGATCAAGTGAAAAAGACAGAATACAAATAGAAATAAACGAAGTACACTGTATTTCAAATGAATAACATAACCCCAGGGAGGAGGGAAAGAACGTTAGAGAAGGAAAATTAATCCAAGTAACTTTTGAACATGGTTTTTATATCAGCACATTCTAATAGAAATGTAACGGAGCCACATACGTAATTTAACATTTTCTAGTAGTCACATTAAAGTGAAATTAATTTTATTAATATATTTTATCAAATACACTTAAAATATTTCAACACATAATCAACATAAACTATTATTAAAATACCAGTGAGATATTTCATATTTATTTTGTAGTAAGTTTTCAAATCCAATGTACATTTTATACTTGTAACACATCTCTATTCATGTGGCTAGTAGCTACCGTATTATTACACAGTACAGATTTAGACTACATGTCCCTAGGCTAAAGGAAAAACACTATAAACAAACATTGAATTCTACGTACGAGGTGTCTTTTAAATGGTGGTATGAGTTAATAATTCTTAAACTATTTTCTTACATTTTAGAATTGAACCAATAAGCAAAAATATGAGTAATTTCTCATCGTTGGAAATCAGAGCTACAAATACGGAATGAGGAAAGTACAGAATAAACCCTGTAGTGTTGGGTCAGAATCTGAGGTACCTGTATAAACTCACTGCTTTTAATAAAGATACACTAGTGTGTGCACACATACACACAAACACACACACTCCCTCCTCTCACACATACCTATTTCCTAGACGTCAGCTGAGAAGGCCTAGAAGCAATACCAATTGCAACCAGGACATCTAGAGTCCAGACTGTGGCTTTTAAAGTCACTATTAAAAGGAATCAGGGCTTCGAGAAGAAACTCCTTATTCCAAGGCTGGGGCTGGGAAAGTGCAAGATGAGCCTAGAATACGTGCTCCAAGAATGACAGGGTGTGTCAAAAGAACTGAAGGGGCTCCCACTGGCCACGTCAGGGACAGTGTCAAAATAAAGTACTATTATAAATAAGCGTAGAAGGAATAATGGAATTAGAATTTTCTATCACCACTCAAGAACCATTATGAAAATGAGGCAGAAATCACCAATGGATACTAAAATTAGTGAGCAAAAGTTCAAGGAGTAACAAGATGTTTACAACAAATGGATATTAAAATTAGTGAGTGAAAGTTCAAATAGTGACAAGATATTTACCAAGTATGTATTTTTTCACAAAACACTTTAAAATTATTTAAAGGGACTGTGAATGTGAATTACAAAGAGAATATAATGCCACTAAGCTATACACTTAAAAATTGTCAAAACATAAAAATAAATGTGTATTTTACCACAAAAAAATTACAAAAGGAAAAACAGTAACAATCAAGTGATCCAAAATCATATTACCAGTATTTGAACATCTTGTGCCTCCTGATACGATGCAAAAGCATAACGATACTTTGTGGTACTCCTATCAAAAATGAATAACCTTAATCCGATCATGAGAAAACATCAGATGAACCCAAACTGTACATGTTCTACAAAATAACTGTCTTGCACTCTTCAGAAATATCAATGTCGGCTGGATGCAGTGGCTCACACTTGTAATCCCAACACTTTTTGGAAGGCCCAGGCAAGAGGATCACTTGAGCCCAGGAGTTCAAGACCAGCCTGGGCAACACAGGGAGAATCTGTCTCTACAAAAAATAAAAAATTAACCAGGTGTGGTGGTGGGCACCTGTAGTGCCAGCTACTCAGGAGGCTGAGGCAGGAGGATTGCTTGAGTCCGGGAGTTCAAGGCTGCAGGGAGCCATGATCACACCACTGTATTCCAGCCTGGGCAACAGTAAGACGCTATCTCCAAAAAAAAAAAAAAAAAAAAAAAAAAAGTCAATGTCACGAAAAAAACAGAAACTGCACCAGATTAAAGGAAACTAGAGATATGACAACTAAATGCACTCTCATGACCTGGAATTTTCTTTTGCTATAAAGTACAATGGGCCAATGGGTAAAATCTGAATAAGTCTGTAGGTTACATAATTAACATTAAATCAATGTTAATTTCCTGATTTTGACAACTATACTGTGGCTTATATAAAAGAATGTCCTTGTTTTTTAGAAAGTGCACACTTAACTATTTAGGTATAAAAGGGAGTAAGGTCTACATTTTACTCTCACGAGAGAGAAATAAGAAAGGGAATGTAGTAAAATGCTAACATTTGGGGTATTTGGGTGAACTCTCTATACCACTCTTGGAATTTTTCTGTGGTCTGAAATAATGTCAACATAAATTAAACAGAAAAACAAAGATGTCAGTCAGCACAGTGCTTGGCACATAATGTACAATCAAGCAAATAGGAGTTAGATGTTGTTAATGAGAATATAATCTCTA